TTTTTTCTTCAAGAATACATTTTAAATCCGTCCGTGCTGTGTTGCGTAATATTAATTACCATATCAACTTCAATTGTGAGTGTTTGCAATCTTCTATATACCGGGATTTCAGATTTTTTGTGGATTTTCGTTGCACTAACATTTTCATTTTTGGTGAGCAAAATTTTTTCTTCTTATCACAAATCATCGTTCACAGAATTCAACAGCTGTTATTCTCCCGAAACACAATTGATATTTGGAGACTTTAACGAACGTTTATAAAGTGAATTACTATTATTATCAACCTAAATATTATACATAATCTACAACAGCTATTAATCTCACCAAAACCAAATTATCTGGAGACTTAAACGATCGTATATGAGATATTATTAATTAACCATATTCTCGTTCTTTTACTTCTGGCTTCTAATACACCAGTTACCCATCAACACTTATCTTTAGATTTATTTTTATTATTATTATTAAAATGGAAGGTAAAAGCGACAACTTAATTAAAGCTGTGAGTGAAATCAAATCCACACAAAATAAGTTGGTCTCAATGATGAATTCACAATCTGAAAAAATGTCAAGCCTTACCTCCAAAGTGAATGATCTTACATTGAAATTAGACATCCTATCTTCCGATAATGAATCATTAAAACTTCGAGTATCAACCATCGAAGATAACCTTAACAAAACGAATGTCTCAAATTTTTCCTCTTCCAATAATCTAATAGCTGAAATGCTTGATATCCAGAGTCGTCAAAAAAACATTTAATTATTTAATCTTTCGGAACCTACTTCATTATCTAATGAATCGAATGTAGATGACCTTACTGCAATAACTAAGATTTTTGAATTTCTTGGATTACAAATTAAACCAACTTCTATATCTCGATTGGGTTCTCGTTCTTCAACTGCTTCCAAGCCAAGGCCAATAAAATTAACACTTTCTGTTCATAAAAAAGTTTTCTCCATATTTGCTGCTCAGAATAAACTGAAGACACATCAAGCTTGGACTAATCTTCGTTTCTCCTCGGACAGAACTAAAGCTCAACGTGACTTTATGATCCATCTACGGAATGAACTCCTTCGACGCAGAGAAAATGGTGAACCAGAATTAATAATAAAATATGTTAAGGGTACTCCTGCCATTATAAATTCAAAAAACGTATACATGTCCCTGGTGCACAGTTTGATATTTATTATCAAAATGTCAGGGGACTAAATACCAAAATTAATCTTTTAAATACTAATATTCCTGTTTCTGATTTTGTGCAATTATTTTCTCTGAAACATGGTTACGTTGTGATCTTAATTCCTCGGAACTTGGTTTCTTTAATTATTCCATATATAGATGTGACAGATCTAGTAACACAAGCTGTTAAACCACAGGCGGTGGCGTCTTAATAGCTATCAAGAATAAATTTTTCTCAGCAAAACTAAATATAGTTACAGGTTCATTAGAGTTAATTTTTGTTTTAATTAAAGTAAATGACAGAAAAAAAATAATTCTTAGTTGTGTCTATTTCCCCCCAAATTCTGATTCCACTCTTTACCAATCATACTTTAATATTATTGAGGATGTAATTGTATATATCCTAATAAAGATTTGCTTCTCTTCGGGGATTTTAATCTTCCCCATTTAAATAAAGCTATATCAAACCCAAATCTTAACCTTGCTTCATCTGAATCCATCTTTCTTCAAAACATTTCTTTGCTCAATCTCTTTCAAATTAATTCTATTCTTAACAGCAAGAACTCCATGCTCGATTTCATTTTATTTAATTCTCCTGCTTCTAATGTTTCCTTACATAATGACCCGATTGTTCCAATAGACGCTTACCACCCTCTTTTATACATTAATAATTTGTTTGATAAATCGTTTTCTTCTCTTACTTTTTCCGAAACATCCTATGACTGGAAAAAAAGTGATTTTAGTTCCATCCTCTCATTTTTAGGTTCTATTGACTGGATCTCTATTTTCAGTAAATATAATGATATTTCTTCAATGTTACATGAATTTTATTCCATTCTTTCATACCAAAAAAGAAAATTTTTCATCAAAATTTCCTATCTGGTACTCAAAAGACTTAAAATCTTTAATTAAACAAAAAAAAAAATACTGCATGTTATATATAAAATGTCTAAATCTAATTTGGATTATTTAAATTTCTCCTCTATCCGATCCCTTTGCAAGCAACGTAGTAAAACTGATTATGCCTGCTATTTAAATAAAATTCAACTTTCTCTAAAATCTAACCCTAAACAATTTTGGTCCTTTATGAGAAATTTAAAATGTTCTTCAGGTCTACCGAATTCTTTATCCCTTAATAATCTAATAGCTGATAACGGTCAAGATATAGTAAATTTATTTAGTAGTTATTTTGCCTCTACTTATAAAAAAGTAAATGCTCCTGCTCTTTCCACTCCTGTCATAAAATCTTTTCATGTCAATCAATAAATAATTGTGACATAAACCTTCTTGATGTCTTCAATGAACTCGACACTTTAAATTATAAAGCCCCTACTGGCCCAGATGGCATTAATCCTTTATTTTTATATACTTGTAGATTCGTTCTCTCTGCCCCCATAACTTTTCTTTTTAACACCTCCTTTTACACGAGTTGCTTCCCATCAATTTGGTAAAACACATTCATTAATCCTATTTTGAAAAATGGAGATAAATCTTTAATTTCCAACTACCGCCCTATATCTATTATTTCTATCATCCCTAAAATTTTCTCTAAAATTATCAATTCTAAAATCTCTCCTCTCCTTAATAATAACCTGGTTCCTCAGCAACATGGATTCCGGAAAAAAAAATCTACTATCACTAACTTAATCACTTATAAACATTCTCTCTTAAATTCTTTTTCAATTAATCAACAAACGGGTGTTATTTATACAGACTTCGAAAAAGCATTTGACAGAATTAATCATTCACTTTTAATTAACAAACTTAAAATGATTGGTTTTGCTGATCCGCTATTATCCTGGCTAAATTCTTTTTTAATCAATAGATCACAATTTGTCAAATTCAAAAATTTTCTTTCTGATCCTATTCCAGTTATTTCAGGTGTCCCCCAGGGTGACCACCTCTCACCTATTCTGTTTAACCTATTTATTAATGATATTGTTTTAGCCTTGAATTATTCAAATATTCTACTCTTCGCTGATGATGCAAACATTTTTAAATTAATAAGTTGTCAAAATGATTCACTTCTCTTACAAAAAGATTTAGATAATATTAACCATTGGTGTAAATCAAATGGAATGTTGCTTAATTTAAATAAATGCCACTCTATAACCTTTTCTATGAAACATAATCCTATTTTTGTTAATTATAAACTTGATAATAATTCATTAAATCGTTCATCCAGTATTAAAGATCTTGGTATAATTTTTGACTCAAAACTCTTATTTAATTTACATATTTTCAAAATAAAAAAAAATCTTTAGCTGTCTTTGGTATGATTAAAAGAAACTGTTTAAATTTTAATGATCCCAGTACCTTTAAAAGTCTCATCTCTTATCCGTCCTCATCTAGAATATGGGTCTATAATATGGGAAACATGGACTTCATCTCATAATAAACAAATTGAAGAAGTGCAAAATAAAGTTTTAAGATATATTTCCCATAAATGCAATATATTTAGACTGCCCCACTCTGGTTATGATATTATTCTTAATAAATTAAATTTAAAAACATTAAAAGATAGAAGAAAAAATTCCTACTCTATATTCCTTAATAAATTAATAAACAACGAAATCGACGATTCCTTCATCCTTAGCCTCATATCATTCAAAATTAACAATCACAATACTCGAAACAAAGATCTTTTCTTTATTCCACATTATACAAAAAATTACATGTCACATTCACCAATTAATATATTATTATCTGCCGGGAATACCTTAAATAGCAATATTTTATTTCTGTAATTCTAGCTATTACCTATCATCTATTTAGTTTTATTTATTATTTTTTTTTTTATTTTAAAAATGTCACTATTATCCTACACTTTTGTTTTTTTTCTTCTTCATAAATATCTTATTATCAATATAGTTGACACATATATATTGTGTATTATCATTGGTCATTATTGTTATTGTATTATTTCTATTTTTAGAAATCTATTATTACTAGTATTATTTAAATATTAAGCATTCACTTGTTATTTGGGCTAACGCCTTTTATTATTATAAATAAATAAGTAAATAAATACATTTTTCTTTCAAATTAATATTTTTTTTTATCAAATTTATTTTTTTATTATTTTAGATTTTTTATTTATTTTTAGTTTGATTTTATTTTATTTTATATACATTTTTGTATCAAATAAAGATTATTTTATCATGATTTTTATCAAATTTAGATTTTTTATCACATTTAAATCTTAGGAAGATTTTTTTATTCTATTTAGAGTTGTTTTATTTTATTTAGTATACATTTTTTTATCAAGATCTTTACCAAATTTAGATTTTTTAAAGATTTTTTTATGAAATTATACTTTTTTTTTATTAAATTTAGTTTTTTTATCATATCTAGAATCTCAATTGTATATCAAATATACATTTTTCTTTCAAATTTATATTTTTTTTTATCAAAAAGATTTTACCAAGATTTTTATTAAATTTAGTTTTTTTATATGGGTGGGTCAAGTTCTTGGACTTCATGTAGATACTTACTACATAGTAGGTACATAGCTTATAATTTTAAAGATCTATATTAGCCATAAACTCATTTTACCTCAAATCCCATAAAAATATTTTCATTATCTTCCTTAAATTTTAATTACACTGTCCAATATTTATGATATTTCAAAAAGTTGAATTCAAATTTATTGTATATGAAACAAAAATATCTTTTAGGTGATGCCGTTCCTGCCCAAATACCTAACTTAGGTATGTGCGAGTTGCAAAGCATAGAGAACTGGTTAGTAATAGGCTTCATTCAGATCCAATGGTTGCTGCGAGAAAAATGAAATATCTAGGAGAATTTCCTAATACTATTCATGCCATTGGTTTTGATAAAACATTCGTTCATTTTTTTAGTAACTTACAGCTTCAAATTTATAAAGAGTATTCAAGAAAAGAAAGGAACTATTTCATTCGATGCTAGAGGTGGTTGTGTTAGAAAAATTAAAAGAAACGAAAATATACGTAGTGGCCCAATTTTTTTGTATGAAGGTGTAATGAGTATTGATCAACATACCTTTACTGTTATGTCTATGCTCTCTGAACGCCATGACACCTTATCTATTAGTATATGGCTTAACAGATGGCTTCGTTGTGGAGTTAAATCCCCAAAAATCGTTATATGTGACCAGTCTCTTGCCTTAATGTCAGCTTTAACTCAAACATTTACTCAGTATAAATCCCTTGAGCAGTACCTTCAAGTTTGTTTTTCAATTGTAGTTTTAAAAAAAGAAGAAGAGCTTCCGACCTGCTTCATAAGAAACGATGTCAATCATTTTGTACACCTTATATCGCAATGGAAAGAAGTTAAAGACTCCAAATTTGTCCGAAAAAAAGAGTTAATTATAAGGGGGATGGGACTCCTTATTCTTTGCACATGTATATATGAAGCTGAGCAAATATTAGAAGCGATTTTTACGATAATTTTAAGTAAATTTGATGGTCCTATTTTATCAGAAATGTGTAATTCAGTTGCTGATACTCCGTGTGCTGAAAAAAAGAAATTCCTTTCAAAACTTATTTCAAATAAAAAACACTATTTGGATTTTGTAGAACAAATAGATACTGAATACCACCAAACAAATAATGATGGGAATGATAATGATAATAATGCAAATTCTACTTCTTTGGATTCTTTTGAACAATGGGCTCAGTCAATAGCAGACAAAGCTAGAGAAAACACCAAAGATATAATTGGTTAGTTTTATAATGCTCAGTTTCTTCCAAGCTTAGAGTCGTGTATAGTAAATACCATGAAATTCTTCCCATGTTGGTCTGGAATTATGAGAGATAATTTTGGATATGGAACAGAGACTGCTTCTAGTAGTAGAATAGAAAGTAACTTCAATCAATTGAAGAATAGACTTTTTAAAAATGAATCATTACCCTTAAGAATAGACACGTTCTTGGAAAAATTATTAATTTATTATAAAGGTGACCATTTGTTGATACAAGGAGATAATCAAGATTGGGAAGATGGCATTTCAACTGAAAATGAATCAGTCCATAATCCAGACATGCTCAATAGATCAACTGTTGGATATAAAAATAATTATGTTCAATATACTCCACCCGCAGAACAAGAAGTGATGATTGATAGGTATTCTGTAGATGATAATACATCATTACAATATGACATTCAAGAATGGGAAGACAGTATTTTATTTGAAAATGAACCTGATACTTTTCCCAAACCAATAATAACCTAGTAAATGATAATGTATTTCAAGACAATCAAAGAACTGTACAAAACGGTAGCAGTAATGAGGATAAAGATGAAATTATAATGTAATAATCTTGGTGCTTGGTACCTACTATCGTAGTACTGACAGTAGATAAGTGGCTACCAAGTTATTATAGATGCAGGTCGCAGACACTTTATTTGATGCTGTAGTCGTGGTAGATAAATGAATGATAAGATAGATGTAATATATCGTGAATTTTTATTATAATGTTCGATAATTTCCTAAGTTCAAGATAATGTTGTACAAAGTGGCGTGAAGGTGCTTGCACTAGTGGATGGTAGTACACGTCTGAATACAGGCCGATTCGGGCTCCCTTATATATGAGGTTCCCCGTACCCCTTGCCTACATATACGATATCTCGGTTCTCACGGATGTGATTTGTGTGCTCATCATCCCAGCCCACGCATTTACGATTGACTGCGTTTCCGATCTATGATTATTATTAAAATAATCATTTTACTCTTTTTTTATTTGAATTTGTCGTGTACAGTGTTTCTGTAAAATATTATATATGCTTATTTTTGAACCCCTCGTCCTGAGTATTCAGTGGTTTTGTCTCATTATATTCAACATAAGGAGACCTAACCACTTTCTTGTAATACTTGTTTTAGGCCGTTCTACAGTATATTAAACTAACTATGCACCCGTGAAATTGGTAGTATTTCCGTAAATGTTACAACGCCTATTTCTGATCCCTAATTGTCTTATTACCTGGTTATGCCGACCTATTATATATTATAATGACTATACACTCGTGATTTATGATTTTGGTATTTGTTTCGTAGTAACTGGCTTACTACAATAAGGATCTCTAAAAATATAAATGTATCTGATATTGTAATCGATGAACGCAATAATATTGAAAAATTAAACAAAAGTAATAATTATAAGCAGAAAATTGTACAAGAAACATTATTAAATGAAAAAGAAACATGTAGTGTTTCTACGAATGAAGATTATTCTATGGGATTACACAAATGCATGTTTTGTAAAAAATCCGTTCCTATCTTCGGATGTTCAGTTTCAACACCAGATGGTAATAATGATTATGGACTGAAAAGAATATGACTGTGATAGAAAACATTCAGATATGACTGAAAATAATGCAACAGAAGTGTGGAAAAAAAAACCGTTATAAAAAAAAAAGAGATCTTCTCATTCATATCTTGTTTCACAAGCAGGTTTCAAGCATGTTGATTTTAATAAAAAAGGTTCAATCACTCCAATATTTTTATTAAAGAATGGAAATAGTTTTACTAACAGAGCGATTATGGTTCCTGGAGTAGGAAAAATGTTATTGAATAACACTTGTTCGGTAGATTCAGTGTTATCAATTTTAGCATCATCAACTGCCGACGGTTTAAAATTTAAAAATGCCATAATAAATAAGTCATCATCGAATACAACTGCTAAGTTCATATTAAAGATGATTTCACAAAATGATTTCAAGGATATTTACTACGAACGATTATTACTTGTTTTGCAGTTTTTTGGTGATAAAATAAAATATCTAGTTGGTGGGTTAAATCCATTGATATGACTGACACAGCAGCATCAATGGCTAGTAAATTAATGGCAGACATGCCATCATTTATCAGAAATAGCAATTGCAAAAATAACTTTTGTTCTGTAAAATATATTGAGACAACTTCTGCTATGATTTCATTGAATAAATTCAACGACGAGTTTTCAATCCAAGAAGAATTATATGAATATCTCAGAGAATCAGAAGAGAAATGTGTTTACTGTGGACATCAAAGGATATCTTCAATTCATCCTACTACGCATATTTTGGTTGAGCTGATTTCACTGCCCGAAGGTAAATATAAAACATTATAAAAATGTATGATCTATTTTTTTTTTCATGTCGTGCAAAAATACATATAATACATTCTCTTTTAGATTTAGAAGCATCGACCAGTACAGTTAATATTGAGAAATCATTGGTAACATTGGTGAGACAAAACTTTGCGAAACCAAACAATATAAAATTATGTGAAATAGAGAAGAACCTAACAGCTATTTCGGAAATGTATTACCTACGAGGGGTAATTAATTTTCATGGTGGTGAACGTCGAGGGCTCCGGTCATCCACAGGCCACTATACTGCCAGCGCTTTTCGAAGCAACGGGAAATGGGAAACCTATGACGATATGGAAACAACAGTTCAATCCACTAAACAAGAATACGATGTAGAATTTTTAATTTATACAATTTGATGTTTTTAATTTTTAACTTTATTTTTTTCAACCAATTTAAATTATTAAATATTCAAAATAAATTGAATAAAATAGGTAAGTGTAATATAATTTATTAACAAAGGCCCATGTTAACTAAAATTATTTGAATAATTATAATTTTATTTTAAAAAATAAATTAAACACTTTTAAAGGTATTATTAAATGGTATTACATATATTTTTCCTGTTATGCAAATCGTTACAAATAAAATGAGAACGTATATTCGTATTATTTAGGTAGATATAATAATGAAAAAAAAATCTGATTATCTCAAAAACAATGAAGCCGAATCGGATCCGAAATTCGGATTAAATAATTGTAATCCATAATCCGGATTGGTCAAAATAATGCTCAGAACTAAATAATGCTCAGCACAACACTGGACTCTCAGTTGCTAATTTCAACTGGTGGTAAATGATATAGCGATATGGACTTGTTTTTAAATTTACTGTGAGCGGTTCTCAATAATTTAAGGCCTTTTAATAACGCTGCTTGACCTTATTGATGCCTTACAGACCATTGATATACACGGGCAGCATAGCGACATAGAACTAATCTGAGTAGATAACCAGGTACATTTCCCCATTCAACCTTTTTTCATTAAAACAAGATAAAACGTTTGTAACCCGTTTGTAAAGGTTTGTAAAGACAAAATTTTCGTTTTTAAAAAAAACACAAAAAAAGTTATTAAAAAATCAAATTGGGGGGGCTGGGGAAATGGGGGTATTTTGGAAAAACACAACTTTTTTTAGCTCAATCGTTTGTAACTCGTTTGTAAAGGTTTGTAAAGTCAAAATTTTCGTTTGTAAAAATACACAAAAAAAGTTATTATAAAATCAAATTGGGGGGGTGGGGAAATGGGGGTATTTTGGAAAAACACAACTTTTTTTAGCTCAATCGTTTGTAACTCGTTTGTAAAGGTTTGTAAAGTCAAAATTTTCGTTTGTTAAAATACACAAAAAAAGTTATTATAAAATCAAATTGGGGGGGTGGGGAAATGGGGGTATTTTGGAAAAACACAACTTTTTTTAGCTCAATCGTTTGTAAATCATTTGTAAAGGTTTGTAAAATCAAAATTTTCGTTTGTAAAAATACACAAAAAAAGGCTGGGGAAATGGGGGTATTTTGGAAAAACACAACTTTTTTTAGCTCAATCGTTTGTAACTCGTTTGTAAAGGTTTGTGTTTTATTTTTTTATTTATAGTTTTATCAGTTCATCACTGTTTTTATATGAGACCTTATTTGTCTAACTTAACTCTTGATAATACCTTTTATCTCCATAATTATATAATTAAATAATTGAGCAATTTTGGTGTTAATAGAACATTTATTTTGTACTTTGAATAGTTATAGCTTGAAATAAAATAAAATAAATAGTTATAGCTCAAAATTGTATAAAAAATTAAAATAAATGAATTAGTCTTCGCTTTACATGTATCAGTAACCAAATTTTAAAATATTTTATACAAAAACTATACAAAGAATTGAACTCTTGGTTTTTATATAGTATATAGTATGTATTCACACTCTACTTGCATATTTGATTTAACCGGTATTGATTTTATTGTTAAATCATCATACATTTCCCAATTATTATTTGGTCTTCTACATACTGCTTTATAATGTCCTACATTGGACATGCATTCACTGAATGAAACGACCCCTCGAAGCTCATAATTGACACTATGAATATGTATAATCTGTGGAATATCCTGAAGCTTTACTTGAAAGGAATTATTATCAACCATATCTAAATAAATTATTATATAGCTAATTATTTACATTTACAAAACATGATTATTTATAATTTGTGTATTCATGTTTACCTTTGTTGTCCTTAATCAGCTCTACAAATATATGATTCTCCGAAATTGTTGGTTTTATTCTTTTAATGCCCTTACACTTTTTTTTGTTTTTGGTCAAATTGCATATGTAGTTTATTTCTTTCATGCGTTCGTTGATGCAGTTTTGTAAATCTTTGAAATGTCCATCATATATGTATGTTATAGTTTGATACTGGTAAGTAGATGTTGTATTGCATTTCGGGTTTTCGCATCTTGAATGATCTATTATCGTTGGAAAATCTGGAATAACACATCTTAATATATTCGTAAAAGTGGTTTCACATTTTAAAAGAAGCTGGTCGTATTTAATCTGTGTTTGTACTGGTTTTTGTAAGTTAATTATAATTTGTGCCCTTTGTCGATAAGTTCCCACTGTGATTCCATTTGATAATATTTTTTTCACAAACCCAATGAAAGTAGAACTTATTAGTGTATCATTGACTTCCATCAAATATTTATTACTATCACAAATTGCCACCATTATGAGAAAAACTGCAGTGTCGAATGCACATGTATTTGTTAGGATAATTTTTCCATAGCCCTTTATCTGTATAGCTTTAAGATCTTCTATTCTTGAACCATTCTTTAAAACTGGCAAAGATCTACAGGATTTTTTTGAGGTTAAATCTAAATATTTTAAATGAGGATTAGTTGTTAAATAAGATTTTATTCTTCTTTTACTTTTTTTATTCCAATTTTCAGTGGCCTTATCTTCATCATAAACAGTGTCTGGAATAATGTTATTTTTAACAGAAAATTCATTCAATGATGAGTGGTCAGACATGATCACCTTGTCTTCCTCATTTTCAAGGTCTGGAATGACATTATTTTTTCTTTTATGATACAGTGTTTCAGAAAATGCATTCAATGAGGAGTGGTCAGACATGATCACCTCGTCTTCCTCATTTTCAAGGTCTGGAATGACATTATTTTTTCTTTTGTGATACGTTGTTTCAGAAAAGGTATTCAATGAGGAGTGGTCAGACATGATCACCTCGTTTTTCTCATTTGCAATGTCCGGATTGACGCTATTTTTACTTTTGCAATTAAGATTCCTGCTAGATTCATTTAATATTGAACAATCAAATATTATAGAAGACTCCTCAACTTCATTCATGTTATCTATCACCATTTGTACATCATCAGACAGAGACTGTAAAGTACAACCTTTCAGAAATGATTGACTATCGTCAACCGAGATTTCTCCATTTTCACTTTTGCTTAACTTAATCTTTTTATTGTGTGTCAAGGTTGGTTTCTGACTTTCAATGACATTTTCGAATACATCGTATGTACCATTAGTTAGTAACGCACTTCCTTTCAGTGATACTAAACGACGTTCTATAAACGTTTCTAGGCTTGTTGGTAGTCCAATATCTTTGAAAACTACATTTTTTATTTTGTTGAACATAGACTCAACGGCTGCTGACGATTTCGTTGTATTACCATACCTGAATTTTGGGATCATTACACCACTCCACAATGGTAGAAACTTCATTTGATTTTTTAATAATGGAATAATGGACGGCAAAAATAAAGGATTTAGATCAACACCATCTTCAATACTACTTTGAGTAACATCATGTATAGAATTTGCCCAGGAAATAAATGGATTATTTGTTTCGTCTAGTCCATTTTGTATATTTACAGGTGATGACTCAAAAGTTTTATCTAAATTTTCTGAAACTAATAATAATTCTTCAAGTTCAGCATTTGTAAACCCATTTGATACTGCTTCTAGGATTTTTTTTTTTGTGTTTTTCACATCGTGTTTCAGACTTAGTTGAGACATTAACTCCATCAGTTTCGTTTGAAGCAACAATGAAGATTGAAAATAGTAATGAATGGATTTCAGCTAGACTTTGGCTTTTAATAATAAGGCATATAGCCCTAAGATAAACTTCTTTTACTCTTTTTGAAACCGTTAAAAACACTGGCCATTTGGTAATATTTTTTACAAAATGAGCTATATCAATTCGAACAAAGCACCTTGGTAACCAAAACTCAGTATCAGTTGTATTGTGTAGCAATAGTCGTGAACAAACATTAATATAGTCGTTTAGAGAACTATATTGTGTAAAACTTCGAACTAAAGCAGATAATAAGGCTAGAGACATGTCACTACAAACTTCTTTAGGTAGTGGAAATCCATTTTTTTGCCAAGTTGAAAGCCAATTGTAGATTGCAATATTATCGTGCTTCTCAGATAACATACTAGACACTGTAAAACTGTGGTTTTTTACATTATCGTAAACTACAGCTTCGTAAAGATATATCGTTTGAGTTTTTCTTAGTCCGAGTTTGGAAAACCGTTTCACAATACCCCCACTAGCAT